CAGTTGAGAATTTGACTCTACACTGGTCTGTAATTTTTTTAACTGTGGTATAATAAATATAAATAAGAATTGCTATTTAAACCATTTACAATTTTATGATTCAGAGGCATTTAACTACATTCACAACATTGTGCAACCATCACCAAAACTTTTTCATGATCCCGAAGAGAAACTCTAACCATTAAGCAATACTCTAACCATTATTAAGCAATAACTCCCCACTCTTTCTTCCCCCGAAACCCTGGTAACCTCTATTCTACTACGTCCTGTCTCTATGACGTTCATTAAACAAGATAATATCTCATTAAAAAGAGAGAGAGAGAGAGGGAGAGTAATTTTGGGCTAAAGGAGACATCCTCAATGTGACACCTGTGTGGGAAGTCCTCCCACCATGGAGACATCAGTTTTTTGAGAGCACTCCTTATTGGATGATACCCATTCCCAAAACCTTGAAACATCAGGCTTCAAGTGCTCCTGTCAACTGGCTGGCATGACTCACCTCAGAATACTTTCAATGTGTCCAGTTCCCAGAACTAATTTTCCACAAGGGCATTCCCCATAAGCATGCATCTCCTGGAAGCTTTTGGAAGCCAAAGTGAGCCTGGTGAGCCACCATCCCTGGGTTCTCTGTGATAGTCCAGGATAAAGGCACAGCTACAGAACAGAAAGCAGATCAGCGATTGCCAGGGGCCAGGCTTGGGGGAGGGGATGGACTACAAAGGGGAAGGAGAGAATTTTGCGAAGTGAATCAAATGTTCTATACCCTGAGTGTGGTGATGGTGGTAACACCAGTGGGTGCATTTGTCAAAACTCATTGATCTACACATGTAAAGTTGGTGAATTTTATTGCATGTGAGTGATACCTCAATGACACTGACAATAAAAAAGAAAATATTTCAAATCCAAATTGTGGATTTAAGCAAACTAATAATTCTAGACGTTTTAACCCTGAAAATGTTGTGTTCCATCTAGTCTAACTCCTTCCTTTTATATTTGATCTTTTAGAAATGAAGAAATAGGGCCTAGAGACATTATGTGATTTACTCAAAGTTACACAGCTTGAGGGTGGTCAAGCTGCATTCCAGCACCCAGACCTTGTGTCTTTTTAGCCTTCTTTCTATTCTGCCATGGTCCCAGCACATTTAAGCTGTAAATGTACCATATCTAATGTTGTCACTCAACAATTCACAGGTATCCTAAAATATTTTGAAGATATAAGGTACTTTAATTTTTGCCACCTCCCCATGTAGTACATAAGGAAGATGTTATTATTTTCATTTTTCTATTGGATAAGGAAGCACAGAGACTTCAAATTACTTGCCTAAGGGCACACAAGTAACTCACAACTTGTTTTTCAATTGTACAATGAATGAGTAATTCTTACCTCATATGGTTCATGTGAGGAATGAATTAAATTAAATCATATCTATAGGTAAAGTACTTGGTACATGGCTTCTCAATACATGGTAAATACTGTTCACATCACTTATTTATGGTAATGATCATGATAATGATAAACATGATGGTGAGCATAATAATACTTTTATTTTATTTATTTATTTTTAAAGATTTTTTTATTGGGGAATTGGGGGAAGGGGAACAGACAACTTGCTGTTGTTTTGTTCTTCAGTCTAGTTGTGGAGGATGTGGCTTCACTGGCCCAAGCTGGCACCATCATTGTGCTCTTCCCGGGTGAGGCAGATCAGTTGCCGGCTTCTGGACGGCCGCTCATGGCGGCTGCTGGCCGCTCACGTTGGCTGCTGGCTACACATGGTATCTTATGGCAGCCCACTGCAGCAGGGGACTGCAGCCTACACTGTCACTGGCAACCCATGGCAGCCCATCCCCAGGTCTAGCTGCCATTCACCATCTTAGCTGTAGAGGGCAGTGTCACTGGCCCTCATATGTGGGATATGAACTGGGACCCTCTGACATCCCAAGCCAGTTCTTAACCAACGCACCACTCAGCCGGCCCAGTACTTTTATTTTATAATAACTAACTTGAAATGAGGACACCCCCCCCTCCAAAAAAGATATGCAAATTAGGTCACATCTTGCTGATAAAGTGATGTGTTGTGAGGAAATGGACATTCTCATTCACCATAGGTAGGAGTACACATTGGAAGAACTTTTTTTCAGAAAGTAGGTCCATTTCCCAGAATTAATTTATAATAACATTTATATACATTTGTAAAGACACATATGCAAAGATGTCACTGCAGTGTTGCAAATGAAAAAAAAGATAACTCAGGGCTGGCCGAGTGGCGCGTTGGTTAACAGCTGACTTGGGATGCCAGCTCTGAGCAGCAGGGTCCTGGTTCGGATCCCACATGAGGGCCAGTGACACTGCCCTCTACAGCCAAGATGGCAAGCAGCAGCTTGACCTGGAGCTGGGCTGCTGTGAGTCCGCCGGTGACAGCATAGGCTGCAGCCCCTGCTGCTGTGGGCTGCCATAAGCTACCGTGTTTGGCCGGCAGCCAGCGTGAGTGGCAGGCAACCAATGTGAGCTGCCAAGAGCCACTGTGAATGGCCTTCTGGAGGCCAGCGACTGATCTGCCTCACCTGGGAAGAGCGCAATGATAATACCAACATGGGCCAGTGAAGTGATGTTCTCCACAACTAGACTGCAGAACAAAAGGACAGCAACTTGTCTGTTCCCCTTCCCCCAATTCCCCAATGCTGTTCCCCTCCCCCAATTCCCCAATAAAAATCTTAAAAAAAACAAACGATAATTTAAATTTCCATCAGTAGGTGAAAAGGGGATTGTTAGAGGAATTATGGTATGAGATGGAACAAAGGGATGCTATATGTATTGTTAAGGAAAGATTTTTGTGGTACAGTTAGTATTAGATCTAAAATAGAAGAGTTTGTATTACTTAATGCCCTTCATGATACTACACATTTTGATAAAATTTTAGTGGTGGACAGGGGATGGGTTCTGTACCCATTCTGTTAAAATGAATATTTTGCCCCCTGAGCAAGAATTCAGGTGGTGAAGATGTTTCGCTTGAGCTTCAAAGGCTGTTCAGTTCTGCTGTTACCTGACCTGTCTGGTCAGAATATCAGCCCTTGGTTTTTCTGTTAAAGCAAAAGGACCTGCCAAGGGACTCACTGTGGGGGCAACCTGAGGGTCACTGGTGCAGTGAGATGACTCTTTGAAGAGTGAGACCAGATACCAGGTCACAGTCAGGAGAGCAAGAGCAGAGGCAGGTAGCAGATGATGGGCTTATTATTAGTTCAGAAACACCTGAATCAATGAGGCATACTTGGTCCATGATAAAGGGCAGTAGGTAGGTTGGTCAGAATGTCTTTTATTTAATGTCATTCAGGACTTCTCTTTTTCCTGAATTTTATATATATATATATATATATATATATATATATATATATATATATATATATATATATATATATATGTGTATATATATATATATATATATGGTAAAAATCAGTCCCTGTACCATTATGGCAGGTGGTCAAGACAGAGAAGACCTTCGTGCTGTTAAGAGAATCAGCTTGCATCTATACAAGCCAGGGGTATCCGGTACTACCGGAAATTAAAGCATAATTAGGATTCCTGTGGTGGTGGTGGTGATGATGATGATGATGATGATGATGATGATGATGACGATGATACCAGCTAAATAACACTTAGGTGCAGGCACTGTTCTCAGCACTTTGCACATCCGCCTTAGTAAACTCGTCACAACTTGTGACTCGTTCTTAGACTTGAGCGTGCATCAGAGTCACATGGAAGGCTGGTGAAGCACATAGCTGAACTCTGTCCCCAAGTTTCTGGTTCAGTGGGTCTGAGATGGGGTTCCTGAACTGGCTTTTCTAACAAGTTCCTGAGAATTGCTGATGCTGCTGGTCAGGGGACCCACTTTAAGAACCACCACCCTAGGAGACAGGTGCTACAGTAGCCCATTTTACAGGCGAGAATGGTCACAGCTGTGGGACGTACAAAGTCAAGGGTAGTGCCAGGTTCCTCTCTCCAGTGAAGAAGAAACTTAAATGTGCTTTAGGCCAGCAGGGCTTAGAAAAGGAGGCTGAGCTGTGGGGACTTTGCCCTGATCCCTTGCCCCCAGCCCCCATCACTTACTTGGAAAACTGGACTCTGGGTACCAGAGGGCACCAGGAGAAGTGAAATGTGAGTACTGAGGCTATTGTGAGATAAAGCACCGAAGGTCCCCAGAACCAGGCTCTCACTTTAATGCTTATACCGACTTACCTGGTGTCATGCTAAAAGGAGGGACAGACAGGTGAGCCACACAGAAGGCATGCAGCTGCCTCCTCTAGACTGGGCCTCCGCATCTACCCACCTCACCAGTTTCCAGGAGGGCATTTCGTCTTGTGCCTCCTGGGTGTTTCCTTGCTTGATCATTTCTCAGAGACAAAAGCTCTGCACCTTACCTAGGATAATTAAAGGTCCAATCTGTAAGCCTACCTACAATGACAATGCCTCAATGACAATCTCAGGTATTAAAAAACATGAGGTTCATTTATTTATGAATTTTAAAGACACACATAAAACATTTCTTTAAAAAACTTTGAGACCACATGATTTCCTACATGATTACCTCAAAAACCAAAACCAAGGAGATCTTCTCAGCATAAACTTTGGAATTTTACTGACTCCAATCTGGTGGTTTATGAATTTTTTTTTCTTATGTTCTCTATGTCCCCACAACCCCCAGTGGTTGCTGTCTCCCTATCTTGGTTAATTGTCATCAAAGCAGACCTATAGCTACAGCCTCTGGCACATCTAAACCTTATCCTCAAATCCATAGGATTCACTGAGGAACCCTGCTTCCACTTTGGAGAACTAACCTACCTTCTGAATAAGGAACCTGATCTTTCTTCAGCATCACTGCTAATATGGCCTGATGACATAGCATGTAAGAGCTCAGTCTACAACACAGTTCTGATCCAAGGGAGCAACAACACTTCCCTTAAATGATTTTATTAGTAACAGCATCCTGACCCCAGAAGTCAAGGGGATGGCAGAACGCACCGGTCAGATTTTCAGAAGAGATCCTCTGGCCTCCAAAGGAGAGTTTATGGATTATAGACCTGGGGATGGGGATGGGGATGAGGAGCGTGGGAAGTGCCACAGGTCAGCTCCCTGGGTACCTACTGCTCCAAGATATTTGCCATGATTTCATTGACATACATCTATCATGTTTGGTAATCATTTGCTGTAAAATCAAGATTACTGTGGTAATCTTAGATTTTTCAATGGAAAGGTTAAGTCTGAGAAAGGCACATGTAAATTGTTTCTAAAGAAATACTGAAAAAACACCAAGCAGAGGACAATGAGCACAAGACCAGAGCTTAATTAGCTCTTGATGATTTATTTATATAACGAATTTGCTGACTGTTTAAACCTAAAGGAAAATCATGGCTACAGAATCACAGAAAGTAAGTTATTTCATAAGCAGCTTCATACAAACGTGAAGACTCTTCCAAGAAATTGTAAATAGTAATGGTACCAAAAAACCCCGACAAAAAAAACCCAAGTTCAGCTGCTCGCCACTGGCAAGTCAGTACTCCAGAGACAAGTGTCAGTGGAAAGGAGAGGTTGCTTTATTCAGAAAACCAGCAGCCTGGGAAGAGAGAGGACTCATGTCCAAAGAGCATCTCAGAAGTTGCAAACCAAGCAGAGGAGTCTTAAAAGGGGAGGGGAGAGAGGAGGGTTCCAGGAAACAGAGAGAAGTCTGTTTCTTTAGTCATAGAGGACGCTTTCTACATCAGACCCTTGGGCGCCAGCCGCTGGTCACAGCTACCTTGGAGACATTCCCCCCTTCTGCAAAACAAACTCAAATTCTCCTCGAGACCCTGAAGTTATTTTCTCCTGCTTCACAAAGAAACAGCACGTCAGCAATATAAAATGATATTGTGAGAACAAAAGGAGCTGAACAGGAGGAGCGGTTAACTGTGAATAAAGGTCTAATTGAGAATTAAATTATTTAATTCTGGTTGCCAAAATACCAGGGGCATTAAAATGATAAGGGGCTCGCTACAGTAATAAACCACTTTACAAATGAGTAACTTTTTAAAAGAGTAATTCTTGGCTCACTGAATTTAAACAAATTGGAGGGGGTTGTCATATTGGGGAGAGGTAAATGGCCTTGGGGTCTTGAATACCACCACCCTAAATTTGTTCATTCCCCTGTAGTTTGAAACTTCGAGATGAGGTAAAGAATTATATCCTGTTTTACTAGTGAGCAAAAGGAATCCAGACAGATGCACACAAGAATATGCTTTGACAGATGCTGCAGAATCGGGAAATCTGCCAACTGCATTTTAGTAAAAGGCAGAGCTAAGGGTTGGTCACTTGCTTAAAATGTAACTATTTTAATAATTAGCACTTATCTAGATTATCTGACAAAGAAATGGAGACAGGAGATTAGGAATAAGAACGAAATGTTTAGCTATGTCGTCTTTGTAATTCGTTATTTAACAGATTTTGTATAAATAGATGTTACAATTTCTTGCTTAAATGGCCTTCTCCCATATTCTCTGGCACTTAGATATGTCTTGGTCTCATTCTAGATTTGGGGTACATTTGGTATAAAAGGAGTCCATGCTTTCTCCAGTGCATTGTATCATATTCCAAGAAACAAAGGGGATGCCGTTCTTTGGAGCAGCACCTGCCACACAGCCTCCTGTGAG